CAAGAGTTATTTCAGTTTGATCTCGTTTTTCTACATGAGATAATAAATCTGTCTTTTCTACGAACTACAAAGGAAGTAGAATGTCCATTTGAATTTATTTATCGCTCTAAAAGATGCTTTATATATTTTAATATGTAGGTACTTAAATAAAATCTGACATAAAAACCGAGACGCGCTGGGATTTAGGCCAGGGACGGAGTTGGCAAAAGTATGCCCTATATTTAAGAGGTCGTTGCTGCCACTTGCCCATAAAATACAAGGATTCTTGCCAAACAGAGAAGTAGGACGTCAAAAAATTTGGTCTGATTTAGGTCCTCGGTCTGACAATGTGCCAATTGCTAGATTTGGCACTAGGAACTGTCTAGACTAGACTGACATTAACGATAACTAACATGCCAATAGAGGTCACGAGAATGAAACATTTAACATTTTTAATGGCGAAAATATTTTAATGTCTTTGAATATCTCAAGAACCTTTTCACTATGTTAACTCAGCGACCCAACATGCGTCTTGTCCTCTCACATGAAAGTATGACATTCTAATTTTGCATAAGTCCTACAATTACTGCATTAATAATGGTTTTAAGACTATTAATTGGCAACTAGAGAATATTTTTTTAAAAGTTTTGTAGAAGAATAATTTAATCTTTCTTGTTTTAAGCTGCAAATCGATAAAGATGAATGACAACTCATATAAGGAAAAAGCAGAGCATTTTTTCTCGCAGTGTTAAAATGATGAATGGGTTCTATACCTAATAATACTTTCGACACCTACACAAGTAGGTACTTTGTAAGAACATTTTGTCCTCTAAGAAGAAAATATCTTTATTCTTTGAATGTTATAAAAAGACTTTCTAAAGGAAAATTCGTTATTTTTTGCGTAAGCTATTTTTAGCGACAGAAATATTAGGATTTTGTTTAGAAAAAATAATGGTTGTATATTTCTACATCCTTTTCTAGAGAAGCTGTTATATTTTATGCGAAAATTATTCCGTAGCTGTGGAGAAATCTTGAATAAATTGTAGACACCAGTATTTCAACCTACCCCAAATTGTAATACACGGAACGGATTTTAAACTTTAACGCATATTTATAAGATTGAAAACTACTTACTTACCTTGATGTGCTCATTACAAGCACACAAGTGCATACAATTGATAGGTGTGAATTAACCCACTATCAGCAAATTTTACAGACATTTAAATTACAATTAGGTTGACATTTACAATGATATGTTTTGTGACGATGTTCAATAATTGTCCGTCGTTGATTGTAGTTTGATTAGCAAGCTTCCTTGTGCGAACCGCTAACGAACGTAATTCTTTGCCGGAATCTGTGTTTCTCGACATAATTATACAATTTGGATGTCTTCAAATCCTCCCTCCATCGTCGGCCACATCATCGCTTACCACCAGGCGACATGGTGGCCTAACTTCAACCTATCTTATACTATTATATAAAGCGGAAGAGTTTGTTTTTTTGTTTGTTTGTTTGAACGCGCTAATCTCCGTAACTACAAGTCTGATTTGAATAATTCTTTTGGTGTTGGGTAGCGCATTAAACGAGGATTGCTATAGGCTATAAAACATCACGCTAAGACCAATAGGAGCTGAGCAGAGTGTGTGCAACCGCGCGGAAGTAGCTAGTCAAGTATATAAAGAAGTGGTGTAGTAGAAGAACTAGTACTTAGTTAGAGTACATTCTACCTACATAACTACGGACTAGAACATACCTTATCAAACAGTTAGATACTTTAGGCTTTAATAAGGTAAAGTCCCTAATTTATCGGCCGGAGTTCCGTCTTGCGAAAACTTAGTTTCCAAATCAAATCGAAGATTTCCGATATGAAATGAACCGTTGCGATTATAATCTGATCGAAAGTTCTTCTGGAACATCTCTATTTAATGTTCCAAATGGTTTTTTGGAGATACCTGGTTGTTAATTTTGATCGCTAGTTCTTATTCTCATGGCACCGACCAACTAGTTCTGTGTTTTCCAAAAAGAAGCTCACAGTAAAAAAATCATAAGCCTTTAAGAGCACGTAAAACTGTCGATTCACCCCGAGACTGTTATTTCTCATCAGAAATGTCCAGAAGATCAAAATGTTCAGATTATGGTTGAGGCATATAAAAAAGCTGAATTTAATTCAGATATTCATATTTGGATTCCAATCTCACAAGCTCTGCTGTTTCAATAGTTAGAGAATGTGCAAGCTACTATCGGAAAATTCCAAATTATCCCTACACGGTTACATTTATCGACCGTACCTACCCATAAACTCGAGTAAAGTACGCTGTACAGGCGACCTATTTCGATCTATAGTTTTATTCTGTTTGCGGGACCCAGATTAACGAGAACTGACAGAGTTTTAAATAAGTTAAATGAAAATTAACTGGATTGAAACAAACGGGCGGTGCCGCGGCGCCATTGCTCAGAACTTTGTAGTTGAACAAAGTGCTTTTATTAGGTTCTGAAGTACGTACTTCAAGATACGAAAGAAAATCTTTGTTCCAGCATTTTTCTTTTGTACTAAGCGGTACACAACTGAAAGAAGTTGGATATAATTCTAGAAGTGGTTAGAGTTTTCAACCTAGTGAGAATTCAAGGAGTTTAAAATGAAAGCCATTCGTGAGAGTTTAGAACCAACAGAAAATGGGAGATGAAAATTGACTTCAGCTTGATATTACGCTAGAAATAATGCTAAGTATTAAATGTTAGATTATGAATATTTTTCATCAAAAAAAAAATATATAAGTGAGAACAAGACTTTGTGGTGGCTTGTATTTTATTATGGGATTTTTTTTTAAGGGGGGAAAATCATCGAATGACTGCTCCCGCCTGGGTGAGGCGGGAGGGAGTGTCAGACTCTTACTGACTAAAAACCACCCCGTTCCTTCTCCTGCACGTTGAGCCGGAGCCCTGGTTACCCGTTAGGTTCTCCGCGACATTTTTTTATGGGATAGGCATACAAACAGACATAGCACCTGATGGTAAGCAATCCTAGAGTAGAGGAGTTGGAGGAGTTAAAAGTGCATTGCTGCCGTTTTGGGGGTTTAGGGATTTGAGGATTAGGACTTGGATATTTTTTTTATGTTTGATGGGCCAACATTTGACCACGATCCCGCCTCGTGGTTAGCGATGATGCGGTCTACGGTGGAGCACGTCGTCCCATAAGCAACCTATTCACTCGGGGCTTGAATACACCCAGGTTATAACCAGGTTGTTATATTTTATTTATATTTATAGAAATTCTAGTTCTACGTTCTTCGTACTGTTAATAAAATCTAACTAAGTACGTACCTGTCTATCATTAGATACCACATTGTCTAATTTTATCAACGCTAGACTAAATAAAAGATTACGTTTTGCGTGGGCGGCCAAAACAGATTTAGATTGTTCAAAGTAGCTACGTAATTATCCTCTTTGAATAAACAGATACTCTTCTTGAAGCTAACTATTAAATGTTGATTCAGAGTTAGAATTCAGAATAATTATGTATGTACTTAAGACGGCTACTATACTTCACTTGTGTGCAGTAAAGAGATTTTAATGAAAAGTTGTATGCAGAAAAGAATGGCCTCGATTAACATAATATTGCGGACACGAATGTTAGGAGACCGGCCGAAAAATGCCATAGAAGTAATTTTTGTAATAGTAAGGACAGTTTAGTTTATTAATCACTAGCGACCCGCCCCGGCTTCGCACGGGTGCAATATGCATGTATTATACATACAAACCTTCCTGAAGAATCACTCTATCTATTAAAAAAAACCGCATCAAAATCCGTTGCGTAGTTTTAAAGATCTAAGCATACATACGGACATACAGCGAAAGCGACTTTGTTTTATACTATGTATTGATGTATTGATGACAATGCAAGCGCTGCAACGGATGATATTCTTACAATAAAAATTTGTTCCAGATGTCGAATATCTGAATGCCATCGTTGGAAGTTGGAACTAGAATTGTAAAGGTACTGTTTTCTATAAAACATTTTATATCAAGTCCAGTTCTACATTCAGCCATTAAAGAAGCGTCTCTCTATTTTACAATAGTAATCAATATTAATAAAAGTAGAACATTGCATTACAAAGTGCCCTTAGCTAACCTCGTACATTAATAACCAGTTCATTGTGGTCTCCCTTTTTGTGATCTTTGCGCACACTCTACGGCCAGTTTCACTGGTTTTGCATAGCTTGATGTGAAGATGTCCGAATTTTTCCGAGTGTGCGTGTGACGCAATAAAGCTCGGAAGATCCGTATCGAGCCGGCTCTGAGTCACCACTAGTGTTTATTTTGTTCCAGAGTATGTTAACATTCTCAGATAGTAAAGCTAAAAATATTAAGTTTCATTATTCGCGACAGAGTCCTTGTTCTTGAGATTTGAGTTGGGCAGAACTTATTAGTTGCACTTAAAGGAGTTTGCCTTTAGTGCAATTAATGTGGTCGACCAAAAAATAATAAAGTTTATCGTATTGTTGTTACAAATTTTTGTCCAATGCTTAAAATCATTGTGTCATTTTCCTAAAATTGGTAATCTTTTCCTAAAGTTCCGATTTCATCAATTTAATAATGTTGAACTTGAAAATATAACGTAGATTTAGTCCTTCCGTTGGTCAATGCAATATTATCTTCTTAAATAAGTAAGTACGATTGACTACTATTATTTATAAGCTAGAAATTCTAGCTGTTGTCAAATATCCAATTAAATAGTTATCAGCCCTCGTGTCAATAAAGTGTCTTCGGACGAATCTGCAAATAAGTCCTAACTACATCTACAGATAGAAGGGCGGCAGGCACAGAGAAGGACGGCAACAGAGAGAGGAAGAGCATTTCCATCACGCGTCAGATCTTGTGACAGAAAGATAACCTAGATTTACATATCGACTAATGGTAGATAAGCTCAGTGAAGAAAGGAAATAGATAACAGCTTCCAAAGGATATTGCGAGTAAAAGGAAATAGAGGCTACACAAGTATAAGGTACAGAGTGCGAACTAACCTGATTCTCCTGGTTGAGCAGTTTTAGTTGGTCGTTTATAAGGCTGTACTTAGCGCTCTCCTCTTTCCTCAACGCCCGCTCCTTCTTCAGTTCAGGGCTCCAGAAGGTCTTAATGCTGTGCATGCTGGAGCCGAGTTTCTGATTGGTCAATTCCAGTTCTTTCTTAAGGTTCCCCAGCTCCCGGTGCAGATCGGAATTCTGAGATTGCAGCTCTCCCAGGAACATACCGGGCGGTTGCTCGCGGCGGTAGTAGTCATCCTCGGGGGGCGGCGGCGGAGCGTACGAGCGGTCATACTCGCGCTCGAGGGATTGGTAGCGGAGTGGACGAGGACGCGCGCGGTGGTGAGCGCCGGCCGAGGCCGAGCGGCCTCGCTCGTCGGGCGCCGGCGAGGGCTCGTCATCTCGTGTCAGGTAGGGGCTGCGGCGGGACGGGCTGCGGTCCACCTGGGGCAGGCGGGCGCGCGCGCCACCACCGCCGCCGGCCCAATCCTGCCGGCGCCACTCCTCCCGGCACGGCGGCCGGTCGTCCTCCGCGGCGTACTCGCGGAGATACAGCTTGACTCGTTTCCCGCGTCAGTGGGGACGCATTGTGCACTGGACTGCGCGACGGGTACGCGACCACTGAACGGAACGCCCGCCGCATCGATCGCTCTTCTGTTGCGCATGCGTGATTTGTGCACAACTTAGCGGCTGGAGCGCTACCGATTGATTCCCGGTCGGTGTTTGTCGCGCGCCGGGATACAGTGCGGCCGCGAAACTCGCTACTAATTTAATTAACATGATATGCTATTTTCGGATACGATCATCTTCGATCAGTATGTCGAGTTTTGATTGCGATTGTAACACGCTTAATCAATTACTGAAACGGCCCTCGATGTATTGATCGTCGCGTTGTTACCATTCAGCTACACATTGACACCCAAAACTGAAACATCCTGAAATAGGAAACATTCATTGAGATTCCTCAATAAAACGACTAACGTGGTTTGATATGAGATCTTACGAAATTTTCTTACACAGAACATAAATTAATTGCTCGCAGTGGGACCTATCCTCTCGACGTCTCGAAATAAATAAAGCATCGACCCACCCACGACTACTTCTACGAAAGTTAATTTTGCCGGCAACTATAAGTTGAGATTACTTTCAAATTCAATTAATAATAGTTCACTTCCAAAAAGAAGGGCCTAGGTTCATATCTATTTTTAGACCACTGTTTTCAACCACCCATTTCCCTGGAGCCGTGTTTTTCAGCGTTTCAGCGCTTAATAAAAGCGGTAGCACGGAGTCGGCTCTCATCCCGTGACCCACTTACATTTTTTGTCTCGCTCGCGTGTGAGTATTCGGTGTATTTGTGTCCCTGTCTATATTAAGGTCGACTTATGTCGGTCAGAGGCGCTGGTAGTGATCGGGAGAAGGCTAGTGATGGGAACTGTGTCGATGGAAGTATGTTCACCATATCTACTCCATGACAGTGACACATGGGATGTTCCAGTACTTCCAATAAGAATTTAATATTAACTTGAGTAGGTAAGTAGAACGTCAACGTTCTTGAAGTAAGTAATCTAATTGAAAGCGAGGCGGTTGCCGCGGCTTGCTCATTTCATAATACAAGTACCTAGCTATTATACCTAAGTAGGTATGTCTTGAAGTTCATGGAACCCGAAGGTACCTAAGAACCACGAGAGACATACTCGTATATTTTATTTAGTACCAACCTACCTACTCATGATTTAAATGGACTTCATTTGAAATACTTATTCAACGTAGTTTTTGGTCTAATAAAAATAAATAGGTCCCATAGTACTATCAGTAGAATATTGTCCCCTTACTTGCTTAAGCTACCTATTTATACATTTTCGTTAACTAAAACAGAGGCTCATTTAAAATGACGAAAATCGAGTTCTGTATATTAAAATTTTCTGTTGTCTTAGCACTTCATGTCAGTGGGTCGTCGACACAACAGGCAGCACTACATGCGAGCGCAGGATGAATGAAAAGCAGGGAATCTAACAGCGCGCGCCTCGTAAAAAATTACACCGTCGTTTGCCGGTCGCGGTCGTTAGAGGCGCCACTGTCGCAATAGCTCCTCTATTGGTTTGCTCAGCGTCAGCACTCTCCGCGTTTTATGAAATCCTGGTACCTCGGTTGATTTTGCAGTGTGGAAAAAAATGATAAGTACGTAACAACGTAGTGAGACAAATATGTCTGTATGTTATTACAATTCGGTCCAAAATTACGATTAATAATTTAATATTTCGGGTTTCCGTAGTTTACTTACAGGTGTACCTACCTACCTACCTAGATGTAGCCATGTATGTGTATAAAGAAGAGAAATAATTACTATGTTAATAATTCGTTGTAGTACGGTCTCAGCTTTATTTACTTAATTAATTTAAAAGCACGTGCCTATTATAATAGCGCTCGCCGCTAAACTTCCTAGCCTATAATTCAGGTATCGAAGCTGTGCCTATTATTTTAAACAACATTTTTTTTAAGTGGGGAGAATTATCGAATGACTGCTCCCGCCTGGGTGAGGCGGGAGAGAGTGTCAGACTCTTACTGACTAAAAACCACCTCGTCCCTTCTCCTGTGCTTCGAGGCGGAGCATACATATCTACTTACTAGACTACCTCAACGCCATCTCAACTAATAAAGCAACAATTTATTCAATACCAATCTAATGATTATTCGAATTCGAAAGGTACTTGAACTCTTTTAAACTTACCTACGTCTTTTTGACGCAAAATATTTTTCGTCTTGAAATATATTCAAGAAAGTGCCGATCAATAATAATTTTATTAAGTTATACAATAATAAGATGCATATCGCTTTAAAAATTAACAATTTTGAATCATTGATCAGTCTAATTCGATATCAATCAATTAATGCTATTTTTATAAGTTAAATAAATAAAACTTTTGATTACGAACTTGACAGTTTCACATAACCTCTTAGGCTCTTATTTCCGAACGCGAATCAAAACTTCATGTCGTATTCCCATTTTGAGGTTATTTTCTGTTATTGATGTTGTATTAAAATAAATAAATTACATAAATCTGAGAAATGTCGTTGCCTCCAGCGAGTGGTACCGGCAGATATTTTGCTAGAGCCGCAAAATCTATACGTTTGATACGCCAGGGATGTACAAACAGACCTTTCTTTCATATTTCTGTTACCCATGTAAGTAGTGATCATTTTTCTTAATTGTAGGCCTCGCATTTATTGTTCAGTATAAGTAAGTTAAGCTCCTTCGATAAAAATCTACTTCGATTCACTTCGTAACACGTCTAGGTCTATGCCAATTTCGTAAATAAAATTTTAATAGGTTAACTTCATAAATTGTTTACTTTTTTACAGCGAAGGAGACTTAACAGTCAGCCAGTGATTGAACAGCTAGGCTCTTACGATCCCATGCCTAACATAAACAATGAGAAGCTAGTGGCTTTGAATTTGGAACGAATTAAATACTGGCTGGGCCAAGGTGCTCATGTCACAAATCCTGTTGCTGAACTTCTTGGTAAGTTAAGTATTAGGTTGCTCAATCATAATAATATATTCAGTTAGCCTAGTAGTTTTATTATATTGCTGGGACAACTGTGTTTGAAGAAGATCAAGAGTATAATATTCACCAGTTATTGATCTTGAAGAAATGACTTTTATTGTTGAAGTAGGACAACTGCTTGGTGTTTTTTACACCATACCTCAAACTACATCAACTTTAGTCCCTCATCAAATCAGTCACAAGCATCCCCTGCTAGACATAAACATTACCCAATGACTTCAAGCAGGCAGTTATAGGTACTAGTTAGAAACAACCTCTATGAATGCTATTGTAACAACATTTTCTATGCAAAATACACCAGTGATGCTTTCAGGAAGTTAATCTAACATTGTAAGTCATTTGTATAGTACAATATTTAAAACTATATTGTTTCTTTATTCCAGGACTATCTGGCTTCTTCCCCATCCACCCTCGCTCCTACATGACAGCTTGGAGAAACAGAAGGACAGAAAGAGAGAATGTAGCCAAGTTAGAGGAGCAGAAAGCTAAAGAGAATACTACTTCATAACACCTTATTTATTAATTTAGTACCTATATGTAGATTATTATAGTAAAATAAATGTTATTGTGAAATTGTGTGAACAGTTTTATTTTCACTAGTGACTGGTGCAGTTTCACTTGCTCTGCTCGGCTCCTATTGATTGTAGTGATGTATTATAACCTATTATAACCTACCTTGATAGATGTTCAATTTGGATCAGTAGTGTCAAAGTGTGTTCAAACAAAATGTTTTTACGATTTTATTATGTGTATAAGAACAGTAAAAGGCTGTTTTTATGAAGAGTATGTAATCTCAATTGGTATTTGTAAAGGTACCAATGCTTCCTTGTCAGCTATAGGTGGCTCCTAACTTGTTCTAGCTGCACCAGTCTAACACCTGTGACTCCTCTGGGCGGCGCTGATCGCTTACCATCAGGTATCGGATCGTTTGCCTCCTATTCCATAAAAAAAAAAAAAAATGGTTGCCTGTAAAGTCGTTTTTACGGGCGAAGATTTTACGTGACAACGTCTTTTTCTCGGTAGAATATTTATTGATATGAATATAATTAAATTGCACAATAGGAACAAGGAATTGAATGAACTAGTGCTGCGCGCGCGGCAGACCGATCATAGTTGAGTGGGAGAGAGACGCAAGGCATTCGGCGGGCCTCTCTCTCGTTCGGTGACTCATCGTAACGTTACCGAGCGTTACACTTTTTCATAAGTGACTCCCAGCCGCAACCTAATTTAAGACGTTGTCACGTCAAAACGTTTCCCAATTCTTTAAATTAGACTATACAATAAAAGATAACATTTGTAAAACTTTATCAAGTGTCATAATCAGCCTGTTTCTATGCACTGCTGACTGCTAGACATAGGCCTTACTCGTAGCAACTCATGGAGTTCGATGTTCATCCCTTCTCATCCAACCACTGCCGCTTTGCAGATGCTATTACTGCAATTAATTTGCTTGCTATTAGCTGGAGAATGCCTTAACTCGTCGAGTACCGGTTTTGTAGACACAATTATAGAACAATAGGTTGCGGTCACCGGTGACCGCTTGGTGTTTGACAGTTTAATCTCTTGTCTGTCGATATGAGATACCATACAAAACATATTGCGTCTAGCGTCTCTGCGTTCCGGCACTTCACATGTTAATAGTGCATTTTGCTGGGCTTTCAAAAGTAAATTAACAAATGATTTGACTTTGATTCATACACAATACTTATTCTAATTATTTTATACAACTTTTTCACCTTAGCCCCAATAGAAAATAGAAAGAGTCCACAACCAATAGAGACATACCTACCTAATGTGTGAAAACTAGTTAAAATCCCCAAAACTGACAGAGATTAGGAAATACATTGTCAATAAAGAACAAAGAATACAATGAATTCCTTTTATTATGTGAAAAATGACAAGTATAACAATTCCTTGAGTGAATACAATAATGATGGCAGCCAAATGTTAAAGGCACATAACATGGATTTTTCACATCACAAGCATAACACCAAACACTTAAAACATGATTATTCTATGAAAACTTTGGGGTTTCTCTTGTTGGTACTATATACCACGCAGACCAAGCCACGAGTACAAGCTAGGCTAGCATTATTAAAATTGTACAAAAATACATCTAAACATTTCTTACTTGGTTTTGGAAGAGGTACAGTAATTTTCTTGGTAATATGGCAACACGATTCTATATTTTGTAGCTGGCAACACTTGAAAAACTATCAACATTATTCAACCTTAAAAAAAGACAAACTTAAACATGACAAATTACTAACATTCCTTGAGCAAAATCTAAATGTGCAATAACACAGAGCATTAGGAAATTCATTGTTCCACAAAAGAGATCTTAATATAGGGAAACTAAAATACGGGGGCTTTACTTACGCTTCTAAGGATTGCAATCCCTACAAGATCATACAAGCCAGGAAAAGATAGATTCAACTAATAATTTTAAAACTAAGAAGTATAAAAAATGTGTCACGATTATAAACAACTTAGCTAATAATACAAGGTCTTTCTAAAATAATATAAAAAAAAACCAACATGCCCTTGACTACATTAGGAAAATTACATATTTATCAATATTTTAAAATCATTAATTTTATTTGTAATGGTCATAAATTAGATGATTTCAGGAGGTCCACTGCCTCAGTGTCAACAGTGTCACGTTTTGCAGTGGTATAAGTCTAAACTATTCAACAATTCATTTTTAATCAACACTCAATTTGTTGAAAGTGTTAAAAACTTAAAAATAATGTATATTCCAATAGAATAAACCGCGAGGAATGTTGATCACAAATGATTAATTGACATTATAATGAACATGGACTGCTTACTTTTGTTCTGTTAATTTGTATTATTGTATTTTAATAATTATTATATTCGGTTGGTGAGAGTGCCGCGAAGCTCGTGAAAGCAGGTGCAGAAATAAATTTGTACTTTCGCTTCCCACAGAAATTTATTTTTAATATTTTATTATTTTAGTTGTTCTTCCTTACTGCGTCTGCTACCAAGCGGCTGGCTGTGGAACAAAGGAAACGAAAATATAATACACAGACTATAAAAACATGTATATCAGTATGGGATGGTCAACAATCTGTGGCTTTGCGGGTTAAAAATATAACAGCAACTTTTAAGGGTCAAATACATTACCTATTACAAGTCTCTTCAAAAGATTACTAATAGGATTTGACATTAATTTTGATTGCATTCGGTAATTAGGTGAGCAATAATACATGTTTGTATTTGTGTGTTTCTGACTTCAGCAGAGTAGAATACATTTGTCGTATCTGTACGCCTCCTAAGGGTGCCAAAGGTAAATGGCTTCCAAGGTACATAGTTGACAGACTGTTCAGCAGCGGTCTCTAATAAATGAAGACCTTCAATACTTTGATATATCGTACCCAAAATTTCCAAAGTAGTCTCTAACCATCGGAAATAAGGTCTATAATGACTCCATCATAGTTAGTGGAGAGTGGTTACCGGTAACCGCTTAGGGATTTAGCAGTTACCAAGATGATAATAACAATATCATAGTCTAGCTAGGTTTTTCTGTAACTTTCAATCGAAAGATCAAAATGTACTCGAACGCAGTCTGCCATATCATTGGTTGTGAGAATCATCTCGACCAATGACGGACGACAATGCGATCGAGCTGATATCACAAGTTCGAATCGGGTACTTGCCAACTAGTCAAATTCAATACTTTTTTCGAACTGTCAAAAACGACAGTTTTCTATGAATTTTGTACAAGATTATGTATTGTGACGTCACGTTTTTTTAGCGTCAAACAGCGTACTTATTACTTAATAATTTGCTGGAAAAATACTAAAATTAAGTTGGTCATAAAATCAATTAATGAAAGTGTGATTATTTTTTAATATTTTATTGTATTGAACAGTCGAAATAATTTATTGTTGATTAAGGAAAGTACCCAATTAACAGTTGCCTTGCTGCAGTGAATTTGTTAAGTCCTGTGTTGATGGCGCTATCTGATTAGAAACTTTAAATGTTAATTTTTTTTACCAAATGCATATTATTAATGTCTTGTATACCAGTCATTAACCCATTAAAGGTCAAATAAAAAGTACCAATATTTTTTATTAATTTTGTTTATTTTCGTAATCAACTGAGAGTATAAGAACAGTAAATGCGAGAAAAAAATGGAAAATAGTATTTTTCATGATAATTTAGGTGTGTACTCAATTGGGTACACTGAAAACCTAAGTATGAAAATTTTTAAAACACGATATTTCTACACAAAGTGTTTTAGCCCTTTTTACATTGCCAACGTAGGTACTCTTAAATGACAAAGGACACATCGTAGTTGCTTTTAAATTTTTAGTGGATAGTGTCCAACTCCATTTTGCAGGATTGCACATTTCCGCCACGTAGGGTTTGATTTTGAAGTAGATTGGCGGGCAACGTAAATAATATGAAAAAAATATCGCACTACCCTCATATAATTTATCAATATAGTTAGACAATTTTATAATGAATTAAGATAATAGGGTTACTCTACAAAAATATAAGAGATATTAAGTTTATGCGTAGAATTTTAGGTGTACTCATATGAGTACAGTGACTTCTAATGGGTTAAAAGCAATCAAAATATGATGTCAAATCCTTATCGCTAATGTGAACTATTCATTCTAGTTTTATTTTTCTTTAATATACGGAAAATCACCACAGATCATTAAGATGCAACGTTAATGACGTCACAATACTAAAATGACATCAAAACCTGCTTTGTCATTTGTTTGAGTCTAAGATAAAGTTCTAAATACATTTTAAGAGCTATTTCAATTAGTAAACCCAATATAAAACTCATTTTATAATACTTCTATGTTCTATGTACTTAGGTACTGAGAAAATGCTATTATAATCGGTGTTTAATACATAAGTACTTAAATATTGCAAACAATACTAACAGCCATTTAGGTTAGTATACTACAATATACCTAACTATCTGGATTTGCTAACAAGAAATACAACTTTGACACAGTTTATATGGAGTTTGTGTCAAAATTTTATCTTTAGTCAGCAATATTATCTAATAAAAAAATAAGTGAAGGAGAGCCATGAATCGGCACAAATGGGTCAGCTCAACCGGGGTGATACCACGGCCTCACAGAAGACCGACGTTAAGCGTGTTTCGTCGTGTGAGGAGGTTACCGGAGGCCCAATTACCCCGCCTCCCCCAATCCCGCAATCCTGAACAATCCTCAAATTCCTAATCACCAAAAGGCCGGTAACGCACTTGTAATCCAGGTGTCCATAGGCTACGCCGATTGCTTACCATCAGGTGATCCGTCTGCTCGTTTGCCGGCTTATGCCATAAAAAATACTGCAAATAGATATCTAATGCAATTGGCCGTAAGAGCCATAAATCTATCAGTAAATTGTATATGATATACTCTTCATATTATTGCTAGTATTAAACCTATGTACCTACTTATTAACAACAAGATGCTAAATATATTATGTTTTCGGCTTACTCACGTAATTATTTGACGAGGAACTCGACTAGTTTCAAGCCATGCTAGAAGCGTCGCGAGTCGCGAAATGCTGCTCATGAATATGAGCCTCTAGCACTAGTCGAGTTCCTCGTCAAATAATTACGTGAGTAAGCTGAAAACATAATAATATATTTAATATGTCTCACGAAAGTTATAATACAATCAAGATGCTACTTTAATCATCAAGTACTCAAATACTTTTAACATAGCTACGTAGATAACGCATTACCTAAAGGCAGATGCAAGTTAATTGCACATACGTTGGTGGATTAGTGACTGGACACAAGCATAGTTAGGAGCATTACAATACAAAATAGGTAAGTCATATTAGTATTAAGTGACATCTAAAACTGTTTGTGAATATAACTGGCAGAAAATACATGTTTCGTACAAAATCTATGCAACTTGAATTACGAGTATCGTGCACGAGAACTCTCGACGCGATATTATGGGTCCTTATCGTGGCTTGAAACTAATCGAGTAATTAATTTTATGAAATATCCCCACCCGGTAGGTAGCACACAAACATTGATAGATTGCGGAATATACAGACAACACATAATTGTAATGAAATTACACACACAGATAAAAAAGTCCCAAAGCTTTGAAAGAACATTTCAAAAACCCACACCTCTAAAACTATTACATTTAAACCTTAATAAGCTAGATGCCATAAATTATAGAAAAAAAAAACTATCTCATCTCAGTTCCGATGCAAGGCATGCACAATAAATAAGTAATAAGAACTCACATTATAGACAACTTATCAACAAGCCATTGTTTAAATATTACTTATCAATTTAACTATTATTACAAGTCTTTCTCCCATAAAATATTTCCTGCCAGATACTCACAAACGTAATCACATAAAGTCTGTTTGACAACTTACCAACAGTTGAATTTTGATTGCTATGTCACTTGCTCTAATCTTGTTTACCTATAAACGAGTGACTAGTGTTAGGATCGGGGCTACACACAATAGGGTAGTTTCCTACATTTTATTTTAATGTCGGTCTAGTAGGTTATTTTAAAACATTAGACACGTATTTTTTCTTTTATAAAATTAAATGTCTTTGAAGATATATTGATTTGAAATGTCCCGTGACGTCACAGCGTGCTACAAAATGCACCACGTTATGACGTACCTACCTCCCACTCCTAAACTTAACGCCATTTTATTTAAGTATTCCAACTTTATATGAGAAAAAAAAATACGTGTCTAATATTTTTTCATTATCTAACTGACGGACTAATTAGATTTTGAATTTTCTTACCCTGGAAACTACCTTATTACAGAATGGGGCTATTGTATACAGGGTGTTCTGAATTTCGCAGTTTTCACCAATCACTTTTAAATTGTTATTTAACATGACTTAAAGTCGGATTTTTTAGAAGAGGTTGGTGAAAACAGAGGCCTCAGTATGAGTTTAATCGAAATGAGTACGCGTTCGACGCCCTGATTGGCCAGCTCTCATGAACCAACCAATCAGAGCGCCAGAATTGCTTGCAATATATAAAACAAACTCGTCCTAAGGCATCAGGCATAAAATTATATAAGTTTCTTAGGGGGCAAGGAAATGATTTTTTTTACATCCTTCTTAGATGGGTAAGGAAATATTGCGATCTCTGTCTATATAGTATGAATAGAAAGAGATGGAAGATTATTACAAATGTTAATAAACGTTCTATTGACTTTAGGCAGATTTCCGATATGCTATTGGTTATTAGAGATTTATTAACAACATTACAAATCATATAACAGTTTTAAAACATATTACTGTATTAAATAGTGCCTAGAAATAAGTCGGTCGGATCGGTAGCGATTTATAAATGAAATATAGACCCGCGGTATAAAATGATGGCGATATTTTAATACAGGGTGAAAGAGGGACATCAGAATATAACATTGGAATTACAAAGGTCTATCTTATATGATTACATAGTGCAAATTCTAAAAATAATTCGAAAAAGTCTACAACAAAATAATAAACAAATAACTAAACGACGAATCTATCAGCTGTAATCCAAACTACAAAAGAAAAAGAAAGAATCTAACATACTTTGTTCTGCAAAGCTATATTAAAATCTTGTCTGTTTAACCTTGATTTAACCTTCTTATTGAATGCTCTATCTTGTTATTGGCACCCTGTACCAGCTGTTGTACATTTGCTGTTGTCGCATAAAAAAAATAAACATAATTAATACTCTTTTTAACAAAAACTTTTTACTACTCTACATAAAAAAAGCTAAACGTCAAAATCGATTGACGTCTGGCGGTCAGGATATAAAACCTATTTGCTTTGAAAATTAGTTTTGTTTAGGGAACAGTAATAATTATAATAATTGTTTATAAAAGGTTGTGTGTGTTGGAATTATTATGTGACATTATTGTGAAAATCCAGATAATAATAGTTTTTAGATTCGACGGTGCGAGAAATTAAAAAAGACACTACTGAAAGAGAATCTCATTATACACCAGTAGAAGATATTTTATGAAAAGAATCCCAAAAATGAAATGGTGCCAACTATATTTTGTCTGTGTAGAAACATAATATAATACTCCACCCCGAGTCCAAAATATGGACAAACTAATGACCCGTGTTACATCACAAATGAGCAACATATAGTATAGCAACAATTTATATATACATGGTGTTTATATACCCCTCGCCATGCAAAGCTTGCTTAGCGAAAATGTACTTTATGTACCTGTTTATAAGTCCTTCATTGCTTTGTTAAAAGCCTTAACGGTTTTATCAAAATGTTTGTCGGCAGACTTCAGAATTTTCTCCAAACCTAAAATATTTTAATTTCAGTTCAATTTCAAAGTGATTAAGTCGCATTTTTAAATGTCACAGATATATTTCATTTGTTATTTTTATTATGTACTTGGATTTTATTAGATTTTTTTAAAATCCCATTACAAATCTTTAATGAGTAAATTGTTTCTTAAATGAATTACTATAAATTGGGCCGACTGAAATGTTTGAGATGCCTCTTTTGATTACAAACTCAAGGGCATTTCGAAATAAACGAACAAAGGAACTTGTACAATATTATTTGACAAAATGTAGATTTTATTACTAGAAGCTTTAAGGTTTGTTATGAGTGAAACTGTCCTTACGACCTTTTAAAAACTACGCTATATTTCTTGGCAATGTATTTCAATGTAGATATGTGGAACAAAAGCTTTGTTTTAAGGAAATTTAATCTGGATGCATATAAAAATAACAAATTTCTATGAAGATAAGTATATTTTTCTCTCATAAATATTTAAGAATAGCTTTTTATCATATTATTTACATTTATATAGCAGTATAAAGGACAATGCACTTTGCAACATTGTAAAGACGAGTGCTGATAAACAAAAAAGAACTTTTGGTCCTACAGAACTAAAGTCACTTTAGCATACTAGTCTGATTTTGGGGAAAATGTGTGCAAAAATGGAGAATAATGGCGATGTTGGACAAAAGGCAAATTTAGACACACGGAATAGGGTTCAAATTACTTCAAACCATTTGAGGAATGAACATTGCAAATCATGCACAAACAAAAATGTTTGTTATGTGTACCTACCTATAGGAATCTGCTCATTGCGTACCTACATATTAGTAAATCCTACCAAGCTACTCATCAATAGAATTTCAACCATATCGAATAGCAATAGAGTTTTAAATTTATCAGAGATTACTTTAGCTTGATGTGCATGTATAAAGGGGAACACATTACTACCTACATGAACGTATGTTGGTACAGCCTAACAAGCCACCCATCTTCAACAGAAATTCAACTTTATCACAACGCAATAGAGCTGATAAATCTATTAACCCATCTTCAATAGACATTCAACTTTATTACACGACAATAGAGTCGAAAATCAATCACAGATAGAGTAGCTTGATGTTCTCTAAGAAGTATACATGCAGTTACGCACCGGGAATACGTACCAGAGTTGGCAATGTCATCGATGCGGTTGTGGTGTTTCTGGTAGTATGGGCGGATGATGCGGTTGTAGATGATCAGCGAGCCGTTGAAGTCCGTCGGCAGGTAACACCATATGACGAAGATGCACTGCGGAATGTGAAAATGGGTGGTTACGGCAAGGCAATGAATAATTTCGGTAAAAACTGTAGATACAAGAATTAGCGTTCTAGGTATAGTCCCTGCCTACCCCCATGGGAGACAGGCGTGAAGTTATGTATGTCGAGACACAAGCGTAGAATATATTTATATTCTTCTTTTTAGTCAGTAAGTGTCTGACACTCCCTCCCGTCTCACAGAGGCGGGAGCAGTCATTCGATTATTTTACCCCCTTGAAAAAACCCTTATTCTCCTACTGGGTGTCGTTATGTCGAAGAGCCGACTTATGCCCGAATACTGAAACGCTACTATTATTAAAGTTGTACTTAAATATTGGTCTGTCATTTTACTTACAGAGAATTTGAAGTGATAGAACTATTCTTGAGAGCATTTTAAAATTGAGTAACGCTTGAGTATTTGACCATACAGTATTATTTTTAACCGAGGCCGGATAACAGTAACAAAATTTACACTAACTAATGTGCATTTTGCAGACTGCAATATTCAACCTGCCTAGGTACCAAGCAGAGATTAGAGCAAATTCTTCTAAAAAGGCGGTTCAAAACGTCCATTAGACTATCACAAAGGTTTTTATTATATATTCTTAGGTGAATAAAAGCCATAATGATACAACATTTATGAACAATAAAATTTACAAGCACATAATAGGTATCAGAATCAGAACACTTCTTATGATGTGTGAATAAGAGGATATTTACTACTTTGTTGTAATAAAAAATATCTATAAAACGTTTAAAACGTAATGGCGCTATAGCACATGGCGTCAAAACCATTGAACTTACATTACAAGAAATTAGTTTTAACCGGATTGCCATATTTTAGTTTCGAAATCAATCATTAATGGCAATCTGCCAGTGAGAGTAAAAAAAGCCTTGAAATTTACTCGTTTCAATAACCCTGTCATAAACTCGAGTAGAATGCAAAAAACATTTAGACAACGCAAGGAAGTACAACTAGTGTGTGATTCAGAAATTGTTGTTCCGGATCTGAACATGCTTTTGTGTCGGACAAGAGAAGATACTAGGATGGCTCCCAAAATATCTTTTAGCTCGTCTTTTGTTTTTCGAAGAGCTATGCAGTCAATGTAAGACCCACTTTTCGACATAATTAAGTGTGGGAGAGTCATGCTTCGGCACGAATGGGCCGGCTCGACCGGATTGATACCACGGCCTCACAGAAAACCGACGTGAGCGCAACGCTTGCGTTGTGTTTCGTCGTGAGTGAGGTTACCGGAGGCCCAATTACCCTCCTCTTCCCCAATCTCCCTGATCCCTGAATCCCCAACGATCCTCAAACTCCTAATCCCCAAAAAGCCGTTAACGCACTTGTAACGCTTCTGGTGTTCCTGGTGACCATGGGCGACGCCGATTGCTTACCATCAGTACCGTCTGCGGGTTTACCGGATAATGCCATAAAAAAAATTTGAACCAATAATGTACGAACCTATCATAAATGTGAACTACAATAATCATTTTTAGTCTTTTCCAAATCGATAAGACATCATAAATAGGTCATTTTCTATCTATGAACCTCATGTCAAACATACATAGAAGTGCTAACAAGACGTTGATAGCGATAATAATGATACTAAGTACAACGTTTACGACCATGCACTGTGCATACAATGACTATGAACAAAGAGTGGCGTTAAGTATTCTCATTGTTATAATGAAGGACTGTAATGCAACGCATTCTGGTTAAAAATAGGTATAAAACCCGTAAATTAAGGTTCGGAATTGCGTACACGTTTTGTTTCTGTAGTATGGTCATTATTGGAAAAAAATTGACGTGTTGTGACGTCATATGGTAGCTACAGTTCGTAGGAACATACAATTTACAACTATATGAAGGTTAAGAGGTCTTTCATAAGATAAATCTTTGTGTGATTGTTAGGAATCACTGAAGAAAATGAAATGTTTGGCACAATGAAGGGCGTCAACAACCATCGCCATAATGGGTTCAGACGAAAAGTAAGACAAAAAAAATACCAATGGGAAATTGAAATCGATGCATTTGTTATTGCCACAGTGCACCCTAAAGGACCAGTCATTTACGTCATTCGAGGTCAATAACCCTTATTTGATCACAAGTTTTGATAAGGTATTCATATAAAAGCCATTACTTAAAGCTGGAACCCAAAAACCAATCGTAATCGATACAGTATTGATAACTTCAACTAAACCAGACTTCTTCAATGAAATCTTAAAATTCGCATAAACTAGTGCAAAAGACAAGGTATCAAAGAACATTTTTTATTGTAATAATTTGTGGCAATTGCCGCCGTGACGTGGGTCGAGTGGGGGCGTTAGATATGTATCATACTGTTTTTCAGTGATGCTACTTGAGTATTTTATTTTCGGCTTTGATGTACACTTTATACTGATAGATAACTAATAAAAAAATTCATGTATGAATTAATTTGGTTGCGAATATAGTACAGTGCACAATGTATCATCAATACATAGTATAAAACAAAGTCGCTTTCGCTGTATGTCCGTATGTATGCTTAGATCTTTAAAACTACGCAACGGATTTTGATGCGGTTTTTTTTAATAGATAGAGTGATTCTTAAGGAAGGTTTGTATGTATAATACATGCATATTGCACCCGTGCGAAGCCGGGGCGGGTCGCTAGTACATTATATATTATGGGTACATGATTAGATTACCAAAATATTGAATTCAAAACCATAAAATTGAGAAATCTAGTAGGTTTCAGTCAACCTAACTTTCAAATATCCGAATGTAACTAACATTTGAACAAATATTTATGACCAAGTCGTGATTTCAAGAGAAATATTCAAACACAATTTTATATCATTCAAACATTGGGAATGAATTTAAATAAATTGGTTAAGATATTGAAATTATTCCAATGCTTCTCCTATATCTTGTATCTGTCAAATTTTGACTAGCCTTTTGATGTTTTCCGAAACATTTTGTTACTATGATGTTTCTGTATCTTCCTTGCTGTTTCATTCCTCTGATTTTTTAAACCTTGCCACATACTAGACTACTAGAACTTTCTCTTCTATAATCTCCAAATACAACTTGTTACCTATATCGGGAACAGCAATTATTCCATTACTATCCGTTACATGACTAATGCCGTTCCTCAAATAAAGGACAACCAAATACAACAAAGATATTTAGAACTGGAAGCCCCAGAGATAAGACACTATTTGACCAAACAAAGCAGCAGTGTTGTTCTTTTTTTGTGAATGTTCAGTTTTGTTAGAATATACCAGTAACTGTGTCTCTCGCTTGCTAGTGAATGTTAAGTATCAAATTTCTTAAGCCTTTATTTTATTTTATAGTGATGAAACAATTACCTAAGCTAGAATGATAGACAACAGAAATTCTGTCACCAAGTTAGACATTTCATTACCTGATTTAAGTAAAAACGCGGGTTACTCACGTGAATATACTGAGAAAAGCTCTACTAGTTTCGAACCACAGAGGGGTTCACGTGAGTAACCCGCGTTTTTACTTAATTTAGTATGTCTCACGATAGTTATTATAAAAACATTTCATTACCTGATTCTAAACTTTCATAATATTATGAAATATGTATATGAAATACGAAAATAATTCAGAGATCCAAGCATATCTTTTAAAGATCAGATATATCATTTTACAGTCTGCTATCTAAAATTTGGAATAACTACAGGATTTTTTTCGACATGTAAAAATTAATAAATGAAAATAAATACAACCTATACTATACTGAATTTATGGTATTCCCTACAAAAATAGACATCTTTATACATAAATGTAATACCTTTTAATAGTTTTTGGCAACATACCTACTATTTCAACTACATAGAGTTCAATAATCCTTGGCAGTGACTAACAATGACTACAGTTATTGGAAAATGATGTAATTAATCTTGTAGCTTTATTATCTACATGTATATAGCTATAGATTACAGGTATGTACTGATATCTAATACCAATGCAAGATAGGTATCAGGATTTCGTCATTTCTTTTTTAAAAAAAGCACATGCCTGGGTGTTAATTTTATGTTTTTAAGGTGCAACTAGTTGTCACAATATATACTGACAAAATATTATTTACCCTGGTTTCGTACTAAAACTGGCTGTACCTAACTGTAATGTAATGATCGAACAAGACTCAAGAGACATACTGTTGGTAGTCGCTTTTAGGAACTCATGGCTTTTTTTATATTTGATGGGTTGACGTTTGACCACTATCCCGCCTAGTGGTAAGCTATCATGCGGTCTACTTCGTCGACGTATGAAGCACGTCGTCCCATAAGCAACCTATTCAATCGGGCCTTGAAGACACCTATACTATTAGAAAAGTACAAACTGTCCAAGAGGTGAATACCAACATTGCGAGGAAACTAACCACCAACCCACTATTGTGTTTACATTAAATGAAACCAATATAAGTTCAAAATGAAAATTTCATATCCAGAGCCCAGGTATAAGGTAAAATTATTATTTGAATACAATACATTAAAACAGTCTGCTTGAAATAGACACACAATTGACAGTAACATTTATAAATTGAACTTTGAACTGTTGTATTAAATTGATGATGAATCAGAACCAATCTACCTTGCTTGATTCAAGTTTTTACATTATCATGCAGAGTAAGCATTGGACATTACAGACTTAGAGTCATAATTTATAGAAATATGATACAACAGTATGATCATAACCTGCATTACAATGCTGATAATTTTATTAATGTAATCAATACTAATTATAGAAACAGGATAGATTTAAGATACCATCGTCATCAACAGCCTATAAATGCACACTGTTGAGTAAAGCTTCTTCTCACATGGAGAAGGTTTGAGCATTAATCATAACTCTTGCACAATGCAGGTAGGCGATTTCAAACTTATAACAAGAAATTATAAATCCAAGTTTCCTCACAGTGTTTTCCTTCACCATTTGAAACAAAAGGTTACTTTTTATACCAATATTTTTACAGGATCAGTATCTAATATGCCTAACCAAGACATAAATATCCTCTATTCCCAACAGATACGGCAACAGCCATAATTCTAGGTAATTCTAATATATACAAACATGCATTAAAATGATGATAACATTGTTTGTAATAAATATCTAATGAGGTGCAAATGCTAGGTGATTTATCTGCATTCATGTTAAATCATGTGCCATGTGAATACATCTTTTTATATATAATCAGACTTCTTTGTCATTTACCTACTTCAATATTGTTTTTACCTAATATTGTATACTCTTACATACTTACACCCATTGCTTGTCAATGTGTGTGGTAAAACACATTGACAAGCAATGGGTGTAAGTATAAAGTAATTGTTAGTTGTTATAATTAGGTCCAAACAGGATACTGATAAACAAAGCTATTTATGACAGCAGGGGAAAAATTAAAATCTATCTCCTAAATATTGGTATTATTATTGTTACTATCATGTCAACAAACCTATCAAAGAAATAGTTAGATATATCCATAAATTACACTAAGTAAACTCGTTATAATAACATTAAGTCTGTACCAAACATCGAGCACAACGTCAGACTATTATGTAAATATTGACAGATCATTATGGAAAAATCCGACTGCACTTTGTTAGGTCCAACCAAAATTGTGCATGTGGGCAATGAATCCATACAAACGCAAAGACACTACAGAATACCCGCCTGAAACAACCCTTACATAATAATTTAGCTTTCAACACATTGACACAACTGATCATTCAAGCATGGTTGAAATGGTTCACTAAAAACTGAAGAACTGGACACTTTTGAGCGCCAATGAATAGTAAAATCTTGTTACTAGGCCTAGGAACCATGCCTAAACCCCATACAAGTGGCTATTAGACCAAAGTAGCAAAATATAGCCCTGGCTTACTAATAAAACAGAGTTATAGTGTTATATACAGTAAAAACTTTTAACCTAATTACTGGTTCAAATACTAGGTTAATTAAGTTTAATGAGTAAATGTAATATATCATAACTACTCCAGCCATTAGTTCAGTGTAAAATGTAGATAAAATATTCAATTTTGTAGTTATTTTAGTGTGACTTTGAACTTGTAAAAGCCTTATCAATTTTAATCAATGATATACAATATGTGACATTATCTTGCAAAGATAAGGCGTCTAGGATGCAAATTAGCATGTATACCTATACTCCACGTAGATATTACACTGCTGTTAAGAACACAATTATTATTCTAACAGGAAAAAAATGGTTGAGCCCCAGGTAGTCTTCAAAAAACCAGTAAGGGTCAATTTTTTATGTATGCATGATTGTGAATGCATATTGCACTTAATACATTTGTTATAAGGTTTAGTTTTGAATGGTTTATAAATAGTAGAATAGTGGAGAGCAGCTGCATATGTAGTTAATTAATAAGTTGTTATAACTAAGATAAGAATGTCTGTAGCTACTGATGAAGGTGAAAACTAACATTGTCTGGTGTCCATCTTGAGAGTACTACAATTGTGAAATATTGTAAACAGATAAGAATAAAGAGATTATTTATCTCATGCAAGTACCTAGTTCTCACGTCACTGATACTGAATTGTGAAAGGTGCTTCAGTCACCAAAATGAAAGTAATATTTCGAAAGTAAGTAATTTTCAGAGAATATTCTGAAATACGTGTTATTACGTGCATGGTATTCATTACGAATGATAATAATATTCACGACCACAACTGTTACTTACGATGGCGTAACGACAAGACGCGGCGAAGCGTGCTCAAGCATATGGAGGATGGTGAACTAACCTTTATGAGCCAATACAGAGGGAACCATCCCACAATGAAGTCCGAGAAGTACTCCACAACTGAGAAGCATGCAAACACCACCCAGTACGTCAGCCATTTAGTGTCATCATCTTTATTCGGCGACTCTAGGGCCTTCATAGACATATACGCCGGGTACACGAAGCCAATCGAATTGCAAATCAATTCAGCTCCAAACCCGAACACTAAATATAAACCAGTGAACGCCACCATACCTGCATAACACAAAATAAAACGTCAAAACCACTGCTAAAGATATAAATAAACGTGAAATAAAAAACCCTTAACGTACCAACGAAGATATAGACTCGGTTTACGCCGGTTTTTTTTTCAGCCAATTCGAAATATTTCGTCCATGGCTTTCCTTTGTCATTGAGACTGCGCTCCAAACTATCTTTGTAATCTTGGAATTTAGCAGACATTGTGAGAGTGGAAATTATTTAATTGTGGAATTATAAATTGGCACTGTAGCAATCTACGACCACGGCTCGTTGACAAGACAATGACAGAAAATAATGGCGGAGCGTAATTTTTTAAACGGTGTTGCCACGTTAATAACTGGGTTTCCATTTTATGGGTCATAAAAATTATTCATTCAGACAACATGAATAAAAAGAGATTTCTTAAGAGCAAACTATATTAAACTTTGAAGACAAAACAGTAGGTAATCATTTATGTATTTACAAAATAAGATACAAGATAAAATTAAATAATCAGTATTTTTCAACCATTCTGTTAAACATCTTGAGAAAATAATACCCCTAAAAATGGGAGTTATTCCCACCTAATTTTTAAATTATTGCCAGCCTTTGAATCTTTTTCCTTTTCTAATCAATTTATGTTATTGCCACCTCAGTCAAAGCCACATTGAACAACGACCAAAATAATATTCTCTCAGAAATGTTGCCAGTTCAATTATTACTATCACAATGTTCGTAGTTAGTTCTGGCGGAAATTCGGTACCGTCAGTACAGGGCTGGAGGCCATCCGTCGGCTAATGTCTCTTCTAATGAGCATGAGCACCATTCTAATGTAAAATTAGATGCACAGTATAGGGAAAAATAAAACACATAACTTATATTATCTTGTCATAATTTTTTAATTCGTTAAAATATGAAAGCGTTAACATGATTATCTTTGTGCTTCATAAAAATATCATATTTGATATATTGAAATGGACAAGAGATAATAGGTCTGTAACTTGATAAGCTATTTTAAGCATACATTTTGATTTCTGTTGGATTGAAGACAGCGGAGTTTGCCAAGGACCAGTAAGTAGGTAATTCATTTGGTACTCAAACAGGTATGTTATTTTTCTTCTTCGTAACTTTATTCGAATTCACATATAAGTAAGAAGTTGAAAAGATTTTAAGATTAGGTAGTTAGCAGAAGAGGTCGCTGTGGAGGCCACGATCATAAGTTGTCTTATTTGAATTATTCAAGTATAGCTGTCGCATTTAATTTTTAGATTGATGAATTTTCATCTTGCAATAGATGCCTACATTTCAATCTCTTTTGCTACCTGTAGAAAGAGAAAAGGGCTGAGAAGTGATCAATCACAAGTAATAAAAATATTTGTATTTCAATCATTCTGTAATTTTAAGTGACAACAACTAGACATTCATTCAAATAGGTCGTAGTGATTGAACGGCTCTTTACCCTTGGAATAAAATTGTTTAAATAGATAGGTACGTACTACGAATTGTACATAGTTTCGGTAGCTTGGCCACCCTTAAATACCGGGGACAGATTAGCAACAACGCAATAATAATAATTATATTCGTAACAAGAATATTATTATTGTTTATATCACAAATACACTGGTATATAAAATATATTTAGGTAAGTTAATGACATGTGCATAGTGCATTGTACCATAGAGATCTGTGCAGGCTGTGCAAGAATCTTAAAATTAATCTTAAAATCTAAGGCTCGTTGAATACGAGACTAGTAGCGAAGACAGTACTACAGATAAAAAGCTAGTAAGTAAAAGAAAATTAACAGCACATTTATCAGAAATTCTAATAACCGAAGTGCGTTATTCTACGCCATTGAGTGACTGGGCTGGCTAGCCGATTGAATCTCAACGTTGATTACGATAGAAGTTTGGTCTCCTTGTTCTATATTTTCAACCCTATTCGTTACTTATAGAGTTACGAATCTATTAACTGACTTAGCAACCGATGTCTGTCGTATTCACAGCCGGGTACTTTAAACTCAGATAGGTACATACTTGCGTACTAACATCGTAATTTCAACGTACAAATCAGGAACATAGTCTTGAAAAAGCGAATGACTAGTTTAAAAATAATTGTCTCTTTGATTAGTTGGTAAAAGTCCAAGTATTTTATTAATGCGATCGTATCTATGAAGTAATTAACAAAATAATTATTGCCAATTTTACATTAATGTCATGGCCATTTGGTTAGGGTTTAATCCCACAAGAAGATAATTTACAAAAAGAAATTAATACATTTATAGATCTGCCCTTTGTAGAAATTTTATAATTAACTATGATTATGTTGGGTACAAAGGCTTGTTTGATAATTTTATTATCATTTTCTTATGTAGTATGTTTTTAATCTACTCAAAACAAATACCAAGTACTTAGATGGAGATACTTTAAGTAGTTTTAACCGAGGTCACATACAAGATACAAGTACAGCTAATTAGAAAAGAAAAGCGTTTTAAGCTTTCAAAGGTTAATTTGCCTCGCACATATTTTGCACATTACTTTAACCCAAGTCTAGGTGACTCTTGTAACAAACTATAATAAGTTACTGTTAGCAAGATTCGAAAACTAACTAGGATCGAAGACATCACAGATTTTTATTTGAAAGAGACAATTTTTGTGCATGATTGTGCGAGAACTTCAAGAGAAATACTTAAAACATTTAGACATTCATAATGGACACGGTTGAAGACATCGAGAAGAGAATTAAGTAGTAGTGGGTGATATTCTAGAGGCTCATCTACACATTTCCAGTCCTTAGTTAACGTTAGCATCATTAAAACTTAACATTTAGAACTGTCAAATTAATTCAAATTATTATAAAGACGTCAACGGCCAGTGTCTCGATAGAGTTGGTTAAGATAGACTTGACATTCACTAGCAATACAAAATATATAGCAATACAGTCAATCAATCTATCTATGAAATGACAAAAATAACGCGGTTCTAAAGACTGGAAATGTATATACCGTTCTTAACACTAAACTAGATTTAGTTAAATTGGAATGAGATACTAGCTGAAGTAAAGCTGAAATACAATATAATTCATATAGTTTCATATAGTTACACAGACAAATCTACTAGAATAAAAGTACAAACATGGTTTTACTATCCTCTCAAGTAATATGAGATTGGTCTCAGTCTTATACTATAAATATTATATTCGTGTTGTGAAGAGGAATGAACTATTCTATGATGTTCTTGTTCTCATGTTTTTAAAATATTAACATTAAACACAACAATGTAACATTTCTTACAAAAATGGCATCATTAAAAAATCCTATCTACGTGTTTAATATAATAATCTATTGGATTTTATACAATTTGGGACTTAAATGCAACGTCTAATGAGGAATTTGGAGCATATTTTCGATTAAAATCGTTACTGTGTCGCAGTGGTTGCTCCAGTTATGTATTTACATCAATATGTTCATTTCGCAATTTCCGTTATGTATTTGAACATACATGCCAGTCTTATATTGTTTTCTGTGTTTTAATGAAACAATTCTTATTTCTGTTTAATCTGATGACATAATTCGTTACACTCAACAATGTCGTTCATTGGAAAATACATAATTAAGTTATTTAATTAATTACTGTTGCCAACACACAGGTATCTCAATTTTTACTAAATTAGTTTCAAGGTCGTTGAAAAAAAGGTGGACACAGTCTCTTGAAACAACGGCTGTGCCATCTGGTGAAAACGACAAACAACTTCTGTCATTTTCTTAAGTCTGGTAACATGGTAACCCATTGTGGCGTCCCATTAACAGATATATGTATGAGACCCACATTTAGTATATTAAGGCGAGAATATTGATATTGTTTATGGTCGCCATTGACCGTCGATGGTTTGATCCTTAACTTGGTGACATTAAATGCTGTTACACTATTTGGACAGAGACGAAGTCGAATATAAGTTTCGCCAATTTAACACGAGTTTCATTTAAAAGCATGCCTCGAAATTACTCGGCGCACAACGCTAAACCATTACACACGTACACATAAATAACCCACTGAAAATTTGGTGCTTCAATCATGTCTAAGTGATAATATGTCCGCCTTTTTCAACGTCCTTGTTTAGGGTATAACCTTCAATAAACTAATTGTTATCGAAATTGATAGGCGTGTAGTTCAAATATTCAACAATCAACTTGTAACTTTGCTTGTCTTGTTCACAACAAACATTCAAATAGATTTCAACTAGCATGTTCTAGCTAAGAATATTATTTGGAAAACAATGGAAGAAACAATTATTTTACTTAATTATAATTATTATATTGCTGTTCGCATTATATAATAAACATTGCTTACAAACTCACAATATTTGGTGTCATAGTTATTATAATTTATTTAGAAAACAACATTAACATTTGCTATTACAACAGATCATAAAAAATCACAGACTTTTCCTAAAATAATATTTTGTTCAAATGATTGTTTTTGGTATTTATTTACAAATCGGATATATAAAAACTGAGAAGCAAATTATAAAGGATATTAGGGTAACAATATATTTTGATTGGCAACACATTTAAACGTAACAATACAGCTTGGCTGCCTTTTGTGTTGCCAATTATTTATTAAAAACTTCCAATTCTAAATTTGTGTCTAGTTCTACATTCTTAATTTCGACATTTAATTTAATCTCGACAATAAGCTTATCCCTCAAATAGGGACTAAGATACTTTCATACAATCCCCTATACTTACTCATAGTTCGCAAACTGTAAAGGTGCTAATACAAAAATTACATTCCACATACAAATTGACTCATTTTTCTAACACAGCCATACTTATTTAATTTTGAATATTCTCCGATCCAAGCTTGCAAAGATCTTAATATTACGTATGCGTATTCGCTTATTTTTGTAACAGCATCTGTTACAGTGTATATTTTGGCCACCCTAAGTATCAAAAGATATCATACATTTTAAGAACACTGTGTAAATAAAAAGGAATAAAAATCCAATTATATTGTTATGTTTTCAAAAGTACTTTGCTGTGTATTTTCAGGACGTCAAGTGACTAAAATCACCGAACAAGGTTGACGGACAATACATTAACAGTGAGACTGACGGGATCTTAGTCGACAGAAGCGCCTCCTAGAGGGCACAAAAGCAATTTTGCTGTACCGTCTTTTCTACACAATGTTAATAAAATGCAGTGTAAGTAAGTAGTTAGGAAAGTAAAGATTCTCTTTCTAAACCTGACACTGACCAGCAGTTTCCCAGTAATTTCCTAAAGTTCCTAGTCTACCTAGCTAGATCTACGTATTATACTTATTGCCGAGATTCCTTACGTAATGTCGGACCCGTTTGCGGATCGCCTTCGGACTATGTTACGAAGGTTTGTGCTTCTTTCTTGCGTCTCGTCGGTGTTCGTTCGCTGGGTGTGGCTTTAGTTCTCGGCAGTCCAACTGTAATTTAAAGGTAGGTAATTAGAGGTAGGTACCTAATCAGCCATGGAAACAATTTAAATCCTGATGTGTGGACACATCATTATAATTAAGATTGTTTATTAAATTCGTTGGATTGGTACTCAGAATTGAAGTTCACATCATGTTATGTTTTGACTAAAAGTACATAAAGACTTCAGTCTATTTACAGCCTTAAAATAAGTTATCTAATAAAGTTTAGTAGTTTACCCACCAAAGTCTCATCGTCTGGCACTCTCGATAGTAGGTCTAGCACTTCATTATTGGGTATCGTGTGTGGTCGAAGGATTTTCCTTGTAAACTTATTTATACCTGGAAATTAATAACACGTAAGTATTTATGGTCCTGTACCTACTCGTGAATTTGGAGTGTATGGCAATATTTGCAACTGTTTTTCCTGATCTACGCTACCATATTTATTTGTTGACTTAGTAAGTCTTACTACTCGAGTCACATTACTTGACTGGAAGACTGGCTGTTCGTATGTCAGAAAATTATTGATTGCAGTTATTTTGCAAATGTAAATTAATTCTGTAGGTAGGTATTACTATTTAGAAATGGTTTCAGAAACTAGCGCCATCTACAAATTGACGCTTCCGACTAAATCAATAATGTTGTCAGAGATAATATTTTAAACAAAATAATGGGAAATGGAACTCACCCCACGCCATAAGTAGATACCTCAAAGGTATGACGTATAACACGATCATAGCTCCTAATAACATTATTATTGCTAAATAACTTAGATATGGCACTGTGAAGTTCGTCAAGCTGAAAATTAAAAATATTTTGGTTAGTTACAGTCATCCGTATTTGCAACATTACATTAGGTTTTAAATTGAAAATAACATTCTAGAGACTACAGCTTAACTTTTTGAAAATGCTCCAAGTAATTTGTTCGAGATATATTTTCATAAGAATCTCATTAGATGAAACCGTCAAAGCATAAAAAACAGATTTCTAGTTCTTTTCTTAACAGTCTAATAGAGAGTAGATAGAAATATTTTATGATCTCACTTCTTAACCGCTTCTCCTAGAGCGGCGACATAACCAATCGCATTTTGTACAGTTTGCGTCACTTCTTGAATCGCTTGCAGTCTCTCTTTTAGAGATTTCTTCTCCTCCTGAGAAAGTAACAGGACAATTGTCAGTAATTAAAAAAAAGAAGAATTAGTAGAAATAAGCCGTTGAACAGTAGTAGTACCTTATCAGCTTCGTCTTCATCATCTTCTTCAGCTAAAAGATCTTCATCATCAACTGGTACCAGTAGGGGATTACCTCCTGTAGTAAGAGGAGTACTTATTAGGTAAATAAGAATGTGCGAAGTGGATACGTTAACAGGTCAGGGTCCCTAGACAAACGCCATTTATACGCTAGTCGAACAAGCGAAAACAAAAGTCATTGCATGGAATTGACATTAAGTTTTGATAAATTATAATTTCGGGTACTTAGTCTGATCGGCTTAAAAAGAATAATAGCAGGCGGGCTATTCGACCGTAAACAAAAATCGTCTAAGTACGTTCAAGGAGAATATCCAATTTCAATCTCAAATGTGTGAATAGAGAAATTCATAGGTATGTACGTAAGGCAACGTTAAATGGCATTTTGTCTAGCGGCAGTTGAGTCACAAAGATACCAGTTAAAGCAACAGAGAGTTTAATAATTCATGTTAAGACACCTTCGTTTTACTTTAGACGTTGAATAGAATAATATTGTTGGTTGCAGATTCCTAAATTGTGAAAGTTATAACAGTATTAGCGAAAAGGTTACTGTTAAACATAATGGATAAGCATAATATATGTAATCTACCTATTTTGGTTAGATAGAAAAGGCACAAAACGTATCACATACAATTGCGAACAGGTAAATACGTAGTTATACAGCTAGAATAGATACAAACCACAAACAAACATACAGAGAGACGTAACATACAACATCCAGACTTACTAAGAAATAAATATTGAAAATAAGCCCACGGATCACTTCGTAAACATTTCAGGAAATATTTGACTTTAACTAAAAATAAATAAAAGTTACTAAATAACGAATCTCATGAACAGAGTCCAAAAAAATAAAAATAACATAAAGATACAAATAAATAATTAAAAGCAGATAGATTAGAGACTGAGATGAAAATAAGAAATTAATTTTAATTAAGATAGAAGAAGAAGAGATGAAACCAAAATTCGAGAGAGAAGAACCGATAAATAAAGTTTGCATTAATAAATAGACAGATCTGTAAAGCAAGGGATAAGGTGAAGAAGAAATACTATCAGTAATAAAAAAAATTATATATCAAGATAATGTATTAAGAAAAAAGAGTTTACGTACCAGTAAGTCTATAAATAAGCCAGGCTCTGCCGAAGAACATTAGCATCAGTAGAGGTAGCATCCACATCTCATAGTAATAACAGAAGGCGAGCCATAGTAACAGGCCTAAAAATGAACGTATCCTCGATTCCCATTCAAAACAGTCTCTGAAAGAAAGAAGACAAGTTTCATCTTTAGTCTTCGAAAGAATATCATTACTCGATATCATGAATTTGTAAGGAATGAAAGAAGACTTTCGTTCACGCAAGCTATGAAGAATTTAAATAGAAGGGAAAGTATTGCGGCTATGATTGTAGTTCAGCTAATTGTTTACCATTGGTCTTTACCATTGATCATAGTATCATAGACCAAATTCAACGTCAATTCTATTACCTACAATTATCCACGACTTAAAATCTGAGCAGGAGTTTCAAATTAAGGACTATACTAAAGATTTTTTTACGATTTTCTTTAAAATAGTCTTTATCATTTCGATCTAATTGTTATCGAACAACGAATCTTAAATTAGTACTTACTGTAAAATCTTCCCAACTTCGATAAACCACATGATGATAGCTTTCAGTCTCATTACGTTTCGTATAAACAGTTGTCTCTTGAACTTAGCCTCCTGATGCATGTACTTTGGTTCCTTCGGGTTCACCGCCCTTATCGCTGCCTTCAACTGTAACAATATCAATTGTTGCTTCTTCATTATTATGTTCGTTTGTTTTGCATATGTTTATTCTAGAAGTGAGTTTTTGCTATCTTTGTTTAGTTATTTGTAGGTTTTATATAAACCACATTTTATTTGCCTCTTTTATCTGTTATTAAACAAGGCATGTATAGAGAAACTTCATGTATTCAGATCCAAAGTTGTAATAAAGTGTATTAATCCTTTATAGTTCATGCAGGAACATTATAAGTTTTGATTATGATTTTATTACCATTTATGACTATTAATCAGACTTGAAAAATATTTGTAGAATGTCTTCTAATTATTGACTTTGGGTATTGATTTCTACCAGAGTAATAAGCATTTAAATAAGGAGTGTCGCAATAACTCACCGGATTCCATATGACCAGCATCTCCAACAATATCTGCGGAAAGTTCCCCTTCGCACGCGCTCTCATCTTCTTGTCCTTTAAGGCGTACCATCGTTTCTCTCCGTTTCTTATGTTCAGCAGTGGAACAGCCAGTTTCCCGAGGAACTCCACTTTATGATCGTGGTCTTCATCGTACACTGTTATCTCCAATATTGATGTGATGTCCTTCACTGTACTGAGGAGTGGAAAATAATTATGAGGTAAATGATGAGTCTAGAAAAAATTTCGTTAGTTTCGTTTCCAAATATATATATTTTTTTTATATTTTATGGGCCGATGTTTGGTCGGTGCAAAAATTCCATTCCTTAACAGTACGCACAAGGAAGCTTGATGCGAAGCAGTTCGCGCGTGTGTGTGGAACATCTATTATGAATCGGTGACGCCTTGCCAATTATCTAGTGGTAGGATGATGGAAAGGACTAGGGGGGAATCAAGTTATGTAATTCCTCCGCACACTCACCGAACTGAGCCTGCCATACCATTTAGTCCTTAAAAGATTCTGTAGAACACAATGCTAATTTTATACTAGAATGCTGCATCTTAGTTGTGAGTGTTGTCAAATGCTTTGGGCATCTGCCGTGCCTTAACGACTTTCATACATATCTACAAAAGTTCCACTTAATGTAAATCGATTGATTTTACCAATTTGATTCCTAATTTACGTATAACATGTTCGTTGTCTAAAACTGTATAGAATAGCTAACAACTTCATCCATTTGGAAACTGCAGACTGACGTAATTTAGTTCAGCACACATGTTGCAATACATGTCTTGAATACAAGAGAATGCTACATATTTCGTTGTACTCACACAAGCACACAATGCTTACTGAAAGGATCTTTCTGGAACTTTGTATAAACTTTAAGAACTACTTGAGATCTTTGTTTAAGTTTCTAAAGAGAGTAACTGAGGTAGGTTATTTCTGATGCTATTGATTGAACAATTGTTCCAAATGATTCAATATAATAAATAGAGCATGAGATGGTTAGTAATCAAACACCGAAATACACAAAATTAGTAATTTTTCGGTTATGAGACTTAGATGGATATGCCCCATACACTGTACATGTTACGGTGAAATGAGGTGAATAGAGATCGAAAGGTGAATAGGGACAGAAGAGGGGTGAATCGATACTATGAAGAATTTCCCATTAACTATTCACCCCTCTTCTGTCTCTATTATTTTACGGTACTCACGTAACTGTTCGAGGATATCACTTTACTGGTTACAAGCCAAAATAGGAGTTCACATTCACGATTTGCATTCCACAAATAGTTACACACTGTAAAATTGTCTTTAAATCTACTTACAAAGTGAATATCTTCATCCAGTTCGGTGTCAGCGTCTTGTACTCCGTGTGTGTCTGAAGCCTTGCGTTCCCTAGTTCTAACACACAGAAGGGGTCAGATTTACCCCCTAAATCGGCAGCTGCTAGTCCTTTAGCTCCATATACTTTAACACAGAGCCATCCAACTCCACTTGATTGTTCGTTTAGATTGTACCACATCTGTGAAATAAGGATATTATTTTATATGAATGCAATTTTAAACATGAAGCAGTCGTTTAGAAATAATCCAATATTTTGATTTATTGATTGGGACCAAATTGGGACTAAAACTTAGACTTAGATTGATTGCGTTCTTGATGATATTCACGTAGTTAAAGTTATCCAACAGGGGGACGCTCTGAGAGATGATTTACATACTGAAAGAATCAAAATTACTTTGGTATAAGCCAGTTCACTAAAATATTAAACAACTTACATATCGCCTTTCAACAATTTCCCTATCTCTTGGGTTCTCCTTATAACTGCTGAGGTCTGTAATGGTTTCCGACTGCGTAGTGCCACTAATGGTCAGCAACAAAAATATTTGCCCGTTCCCATCTTCTAGATCCTTCCATATGTTATGCGTTTTCTCTCTTTCTAATCTAGATAAGTCTATTGCACACCTGTGAACAAATTTTAAATTATTTAGGGGAATCATACAATGACGTCCACCTCTTGGGTGAGACGACAGGGAGTGTCAGACTCTTACTAATTTAAAGCTACTCTGTTCCTGATTTGATTGGAGCCCCGGTAATCCGTTAGGTTGTTCTAAATTTAAATTTTAAATAAAGACTCATAACTTTATCAGAGACTCGATGGCAGCATTTGGTTATCCTGAACAGACTGCACGGTTAGTGCGATGGCAGGGCTACCGAGTGTGTGTCGCGAGTTCGAATCCCGTACGGAGCAACTCTTTGTGTGATCCACAAAATGTTGTTTCGGGTCTGGGTGTTATGTGTATGTGAACTTGTATGTTTGTAAACGTACCCACGACACAGGGGAAAATCATAGTGTGGTGTGCAACGTTTTTTAAAAAAATCTTTGAAAATCCAGATGATATACTGCGATCTCCAGCGTCATCATCCACAAGTACCTATGGGGTTTAAACTGTCAAACACCAAGCGGTCACCGGTGACCGCAACCTATTGTTCTATAATCTACAAAACCGGTACTCGACGAGTTAAAAACTCTTTTATAAAGGAGGTTTACTATTAATAGTCCTGCAAAGGTAGGCCACAGGCTGATGTGACGATGATAACTAAACGACCTAATTATTATGTAACGTGTGATTGCAAATGACCATATGGTACATAAAAATTAACACTATCGTGAAAATTAGCACTGTTATTGTCATTAGCCAATTTAGCCCCACGAGTTCATCGGCCTATACAAAATAAACCCGTCGACCCAAATCTTAATTGCTCATAACATTAATTAAATAAGGTAACACTATACAATTTACTCTTGTAATTAATTATCTACTTTCTCTAGTAGCTTTTTGGGTTCATATTAGGTAGATTTATTTTGTTTTGGATTACTTGCTAAATCAAATATCGTAGGTCCACCTACATAGTATTCAGGTCATAGTTTTGAGTGGGTAGATTGGGTTATTTAGGTGTACTATAACAGCTACATTGAGACTCATTTGGTTTTCTGTAAAAATTTTTAACTAGGCTAACGTAATATCATAAAACTTGATTTTTTATGAAATAGAAGACCAACAGAAGACTTTTGAGGCCTTAGTACGAGTTTGTTATACGTTTAAAGTAATCGAAAGGAGACCGCGCTGTGATTGGTTAGTTCATTGCAGCCAGCCAATCAGGAGCGCCGAACGCGTACTCGCTTCGATTACTTTAAACGTAATACAAAATCGTATTAAGCCCTGTGAAATCTTAAACTTTTGGTCCAACTAAAACAAATTCACGTTTGAACTTCGATATGGAGAAATACCCTTTTTTTTTGATGACGGGGAGAAACCTTCAAAAGGCGCTTAACTTTTTGGGGACAAAGACTAGGGAGTGTGGGACTCGTACCTCATTAAAACCACCCCGGTGCCCACCCCTAGCACCTGTAAGGAGTACCGGGTCCTCTGAAGAGACCTGCTCCGGAGCCCCCTTGGATAAATACATACCTATTAGTTTACAAAGCCTTGTCAGGGCTTTTCGATTAGTAGTTGTACGACCTTATACAATATCAGACGTTTTCCTTTATACACTATAAACTTTTTATTGTAGAGGGTGCATCGTAGCGTACCCCTATTACGTTCCCTTCGAGGCACTATAACGGCTTTAGTCCTAATTGTCCACCATTATAAAGGTTGTTAAGTAATGCAATTTGTGTTACAGCTTCGAATGTGATGAGCAATTTGCTCTTTATGACTGTGTTCAGGTAAGATAAGGAATTAAAGCAATGCCCACTTTCTGACCGTCAAGGTTGAGTTCAAAATCCTATGAAGATGTTCTGATGGATGGAAAATTAACTTGTTTGTTTTTCTTCGTAAGGCTCTAGAGTGACCCAGAAGGGAATACTGTTATTCTTATGTGTTACATAAAATCAGGAAGTGTAAACTTATAGAGTAGGTACTTCTTATTGATCACGGTATTTGGCAGATAGCCAGTTTCTATGGGACTAGTACAGAAAAATATTCAACAAAAGAATATTTTTAGAAACATCACAAAGAGGCGTACCTACCTACTAATTTAAAAAGTGACTTGGTATCTTCACTATGCGTCTTAATTCCTGAAATTGTGATGACTGATTCACAGAAATTGGGATCTGGATGCGGATTTTATCAACGTCTATAAGTTTAATGATTTGATTAAGCCAGACCTAATCAGCATTTCAGCTTGGATGGGATACTTACTGCGCTAAGACGTATAAGCGTTCTTTATTCTGCCTTATTTCTTAGTTATTTTATTACTGTCTTTGACATCTTAAAGATGTAAACTACATATATAGATGGTCTTATATCAACTCACCTGCCAATAAAGTCATCTTTAGACTGCTTATCCTTGTCCCAGACTGTGACCTCTAGAATTTGCTCCTGGTCATCATACAAGTGCAGGTCAAACTGCTCCAACCACGAAGGATGTAAAGACTTCCAAACTACCTTACTTTTATATTTTTCGTTACCTAACCTGGAAGAGAAATAATTGTTTAGATCGAAACTACGATTAAGATGGATTCGGACAAAGATGCACATGTAAAAATAGATTCTCTGGCATTGGTTGATTGGTATTTTCTACAGTTAGCACATGCTTTCTCTTTAAAGCCAAGGATAGACTAACGCCCAGTTTCAATGACCTATCTATCAGTAGATTTTTAGACAGTTTTTGTATGGTGCTTATGTCAAAATTCTACCTTTAGTAAGCAAATCTACAGATAGATAGGCTATTAAAACTGGACGGGACAAATATCCCACGACGTATGTATCGGCGAGACGTTAAGCGAAGCCTGCCGACTTTGCCTAACATAAATGGCGACAATGAGCGAGGAAGAGACTTGTGTCGTGCTATAACGCCAGACATTTTGGACGAAGTCTGGCAACGTCGTGCTACCTCACCTAGAGTCGCTGGCGACACGTGTCACAGGACATCTGTCCCCTAGTGGATCCTTGGTTTAAGCCACACAGAATCACTACATAGTATAAAACAAAGTCGCTATCCACCGTCTGTCTGTCCCTATGTATGCTTAGATCTTTAAAACGACGAAACGGATTTTGATGCGGCTTTTTTATTAGATAGTATGACTCTTAAGAAAGGTTTATATGTATAATACATGCATATAATGTGATGTCGAAAATAAGCACGTTTTTTTTGCGCTTATATTGCAAACACTGGCTAATATAGACCAAAATAATTTACTACACCACCTTAATTGTCTAATGACAAAAAAGCTGTGAGCGTTGTGTATGAGGACATTCTGTAGTAGGCATTTATTTACATAAGCATTGCACCCGTGCGAAACCGGGACGGGTCGCTAGTGAAGGATAAATGGAAAATTAAGAGGTAAAGGTAAACTAACTAGCATATACCTCTGAATTTTTTCCCACGAACCATCAAAATATGTTTTACTTACGGATGTAAACTGGATACGGATATCAAAACTATAATCTATTTCTTGTATTCTTTGTTGTTTAACATAAGTAGTGGTCTACATAATTTCGTGGAATTTTGTCCAACACATTTAAAACTTAAATAAACATTATGACATGACTTAATAGTTCGATGTTCTATTGCGGAAATCGTAAGACAAGATTGAAGTTTTAAATTGCATCGCAGACATCAGCGTCGGTCGATGTCTGCGTATTGTTCAATTGGAGTAAACATCTTTGTTTGTTGAATTAAAAAGTATTTTGTAGTCGTTTTGAATGGATGTTTGTTTACTTTTTAATATTACGGCTTATTCGCGTGAACTATTCGAGAACAAATTTACTAGTTGGCTGTGTGAGATTGGTATCCCACACCACTCATGCTTCTTTCGAATAACAGTCCCGGTAAGATGTGAAACTAGTAGATTTAATGTCGATGAATTCAAATGAGCAAGTTGCCATAGTAATTATCTATTTCGGTAGGTATGTGTCACGATAATTATGACAAAGAATCCATAGCCTACCTATATACCTACTTACCTAAATTTACAATAAGGGTCACTGGATCTAGTATCTAAATCCATTGCAGGAAGATTCTTAGCTTCAACCAGTACTATGGTGACTACAGAGCTCCATATTTGCGCCTTCAACCGCTTGTTCACATCGCTTAGCCTCGTGTTCTTCATTAAATACTGGAAAAGAAACATTATTTAAATTATGAACACAATAAAACAAAGGCTTCTCTGGTTTTTTCCCCTGAAAAGACCACGGAATCCCGGTTGGTATGAGATCCGAAAATCAACTGCGCAGATGTTAGTAACCTTTAACCCGTCTAGGAAACTGGGTACTGTTTTTCCTAATTGACATGTGGACACACTGACAATTATCCCCAATTATTATGGTTTACTTAGTGAAGCCTGTTGTGGATTTTCCCTATATTCTATTAGTTAAGTGATAAATAATTTAGACACGCGAAATTTAATAGTTATTAAAAACACTTGTTTTGCAACAATAATAAAGTCAATTAACTAAAAATCGCGGGTTACTCGCGTGAATATATGTGGTTGCGGCGATATCGCGCAGCCTACTGCTGCTACTGCTGACATCGCCCCGACCGCGCACGCTGCTCAAGGAAGAACCCCTCTGTGGTTCGAAACTAGTAGAGCTTTTCTCAGAATATTCACGTGATTAACCCGCGATTTTTAGTTAATATAGTATGTCTTACGATAGTTATTATAAAAAATAATAAAGTCAGTAGAAAATATTTTTTGCGACCAATCCACAATCATCATTTTAGTCCAGCATCATCAATTGCTAGATATGATGATAGGTCTTCTCCGATTTCGAACATACATAGTTTGGTTTTGTGCAAAGGACATCTTTTAGTTTCTGGTGATTTTATCTATTGTCTCTTGTCTATGTCGTTTATTGTCTCTTCGAACGAAATTAAATAACATTCTCATTGTCTTCAAAGCTCAAAGGCATTTATTGATAAAACTAAAAATCCGCTCAATAATTTTTAGGTACCTATTTGACGATGAAAATTTCACCTTTCCTGCTTTAATTTGAAAATGTTTTACAAGATTACAGACATTGATAAGATATTTTCACCAAAAGTTAAAATACTTTAGTTTTAAAACGAACATTTTATTTCTTCCAACCACCCAAACCTTCCAACTCGTTTCTAGGAACATATTAACATATCAATTTAGCTGATTGAATGCTTAGTTTTATAAATAAATTGACGAGAACTTATAAACAACCACTATAAAGTGTTTGCTAATAATTTGTGCGAAAGACATGCTCACAATAGCTCTTCAGCCTCAGAAACGTTTTAGAGGAACGTAAATAAACATGTTCAAAATCTATTATCTAGATGCAGAGCATAACAAATTATGCCTTGAACCACAGAATTTCTTTTCGACTTTATTAGACAGTGAAAAAGACAAAGAATCTATCACATCAAGCCAATAATTGAAAATCACGCGCATGCTGCTCATGAGGAAGAACCCCTCTGTGGTTCGAAACTAGTAGAGCTTTTCTCAGTATATTCACGTGTGTAACCCGCTATTTTTTGTTAATTAATTAAGTCTTATGATAGTTATTATAAAACATCAAGCAATATTACACAAACTACCCCTGTAGTTACTGTAATATGGTTTAGTGTCTTCTCGCAACTTTGTCATTTATTGTTTATCAGTCTCATAGAAGTTATGAATTTCTTTGTTATTTTCAATCGTAGCATGCAATTAGAAGATCCGTAATCCAATAAAAGTACTTTTGCCGATAGCAACTGTTAAAGATAGATCCTCTGCTAACTCTGGTCACAGAGTCATTGGCATTAAAAGACATTTAACGTGTTAATAAATAAATTGCAAACACCACAATGTACCCAAAATTAATACACACACAAAGGAACACCAAATATAGCTAAATAATATTAGTGAGGACCACATATATTACAAACCCACACACACATACACATTTGGTTCTGCAACCTTCCCTAAAAGGAGTTTCGACGTACGAGACCCAAATTAGTCTTATTTAGTGTTTCGAGGGAAAAAGTAGGTCCATATATAGCTCTATTCCTTAATTGTGCTCCCAAATTGCGTTCATTACTCTTCAAGCTTCCAGCGATGTACGAATGGAATGAATAGATGTAGGTAGTTTGATAGTAGATCAGTCCAGACTATAATTTCCTGTATGACTGCGAGAATCTAGATATAAATGACAATGAAATATGATATTTATTGTAGGTTGGCATAGAGTTTCAAGTACCTACTAGGTATTAGGTACTGTAATTTGTTTGTAAGCAAAAATGATAGGTATATATGGAAACCTTGGACTTCAGATATCAAACTACCTAAAATAATGAAATTACCCTTAGGCCCCTAATGAGTTATAGGGTTGTAGATTATAACTAGCGGTACCTTTGTGACAACATAACATAACATCACGCCTTTTATCCCCGAAGGGATATGCAGAGGTGCACATTATGCCACTGTACAATGTAAACCCACTTTTCACTATTTATGTTACGAGTCCCATGTAATATCTAGGGGGTGAGCCTATTGCCATATACCGGGCATAATTCCAGACTCCGTGCGAGTACTGAGATTTTTTTAAAACCCCAGTAACACTTTGCCGAATCGAACCTGTAAAACTCAGTGCTGATAGGGTATTCTGTAAGATGTCAATTTTAACTCTCAAAGTGAGGTCGATCGCTGTCGATGTTTTTTAAAAAATGGTTGCCTGTAAAGTCGTTTTTACGGGCGAAGATTTTACGTGACAACGTCTTTTTCTCGGTAGAATATTTATTGATATGAATATAATTAAATTGCACAATAGGAACAAGGAATTGAATGAACTAGTGCTGCGCGCGCGGCAGACCGATCATAGTTGAGTGGGAGAGAGACGCAAGGCATTCGGCGGGCCTCTCTCTCGTTCGGTGACTCATCGTAACGTTACCGAGCGTTACACTTTTTCATAAGTGACTCCCAGCCGCAACCTAATTTAAGACGTTGTCACGTCAAAAAAAA